CTTTCATTTGTCAGAGGAAGGTGACTTGACATCTTCTCTTATCACACCCAGAGGCCTGGCAGGCAAAGTGTAACTGCAAAAGAAAACCCATAGATTATTTCGACACTTATTTTGAAATGTCTGTATCATATTCAAGCAGAATCTCTTCGACTCTTTCGCGAAGATCAGAAGTTCTTTGTACAGAAGATACTTCTTATACAATGCATGCAACAATATTCTCCTCAGTAAAACAGAACCGCTCTAGATAACTTCACTACAATCACAATCATTCATAATCAGAGCCGTTGACTAAAGCAATCTATACTTCCAGTCTATAATCTAATTTCCTTTTTAGCAACTTCAAAGCAGATCCTATAGATTTTTCGAAGGCCTTGAACAAATATTGAGTTTTTGCCTTCCTTAAACCTTGTTTCGGTGTGGATCCAAGCATGGAACTCACATAAAACCTAGAAACAGATTGCGAGATTTGTGAGAAAGTTCGAGGAGAAACTTATTGTTAGAATACAAGCAGATCTCGAAATGCACCTTCCGTGCCGTTATCTTTGGTTGGCGTTACAGTCGTGCAAGATTAGTCCCACTATTCCCATTTGCCTGAGAGCGGCTTTTGAAAGAACTTCCAGGTTACTCGAAGAACGATTTTGTGCTATTACAATCAACAAACAGTACAAAAAATTTTTACTAGAAAATGGTAAGTGAAAACAACCCGTTCACAAATTAATTCAAATAATACAAGACACAAGACACAATGAAGTTTGTGCAGTAAGGAACGAAATTACGAATCTTTCGTAGGATAATCAATTCCTAGCATATTAAGGCTGTAACCAAAGTGAGAAAACAAACAACCGGCTTGATTTCAGAAATGCATGCCTATTTGGGCTAAATACATAGCAAACTGTAGATGTTACTAAGCTAATAAGAAAATTTGGAGGATAAGCTGCAGATTTAGAATTTCTTAGACAAACTGAACTAACAGCCATGTAGCCAAAAGAGATATTGCAGCTGAAACTGGGAAACATAATAGCCAAACAATTACAATTTTCCTAAATGTTTTGAAGGATACTCCTTCTGCAGTAGATTTCGTCATGCCAACGAAGAGAACTGCACCGACTGCGCAATGAGTGGAAGAGATGGGAATACCTGAAAGATAATCAAGAATTTTGTGTATTTTGTGAGCAACGATCTAAGCACTTACCGACTTTCACACAAACAAGGACAGTGAAAGCTGTGCCAAGTTCGATAGCGAACCCAGAAACAGGGCTCATATCGACGGTGATTTCTTGTGCAATCAGTTTGATGGTACGATGGCCTAGTGCCAAGAAACCGACGATCATGGCTACAGCTCCAAAAGCGAGCAGAACCTGGAAGAGAAGTCGATTC